CAAACGCGAGTGTGACATGTATACAGGAATCGTGGTTAAGCCAAAACACAGAGGATTTGCTGGTCAACAGGTCTGGTTTTGCAATTTTTCTACCAGACAGAGAAAGAAGCAAAAAAGAAGTCCGGAGGCGGGGTAATAACCTACATTAACTACAGTTGGTGCGCAAGTCCGAAACGTTATGTTCTTTCTCCTGTACTAGTACTGATTTCCTCACTGTTTCATGTCGACCGATGGTTTTCACGTTATTGGAGCACAATTATTACCAATCGATACATTGCCTCTTCTTACTCACAAATTGAAATGAGCTCTTTCTACGAGACATTTATTCCTCTCATAATTCCCCTGGTTGAGGACAATTTAATTTTAACTGTTGGTGATTTCAATTATGGATCAAACCAACCTTAACTTTCTTTCAGTCTATCAGATCTCTCTTTCTAACACCCACCAGAGAAGGTGCTGTATTGGACAAGGTTATCACTAACCATCGTATCATTTTCTCTCTCAAACTGAAGGCGCCAATCTCCAATAGTGACCAATGTTTCTCATATCTTAGAGCAAAAGTTCACTCTCGGTTGGCACACCCCGCTTTTATTCGAACAAAACAAATGAATATAAAAATTCGTAACCTATCAACCGACAGACTCCCTCCTAAGGAAGTCTCTCGCAATGGTGAGGTGGTTTTTCGTTGAACGGTTTGCAGAAACACATAATGTAATTTTCAATTCATGTTGTCCTGTGGAAACAGTTTTGTTCTCATTGGCACAGTACGCTGCTAAAAGCTCTTAGAAGACCAAAAGAACAAGCGTTCAAGACGCACCAAACAACTTAGGATGCAAATCATAGCAGAGATCAAAAGATTGAATGTTTTGTTCGCAAAGCAAGTTCTGGAAGCTGGGGCTGAAAGACGGCTAAGACAAGGGATCAGATTGCTGTGCAGATAGAAAAAAAAGGTCAGCAAACAAAACTATTGAGGTGGACATCCTCAATGATGCAATAATTAATTCTTCAAATGACCTTCTGGCCCCATATCCCACAGATTACCTATCTATCGTAGACCCTGTCATTCACGAAAAAGCCTATAATCTTCCTAAAACTACAAAAGTCACGAATACCGTTGGCTCTGATGATCTTTCTTCATCTATGCTCAAATATGGCTCAATATGGTTCATTCAGATATTCGCGTGCTCTACTATTATCAAATTCATTCTCACATGTTTACCCCCTGATTCACCGAGACCATTCACCATTGTTCCCATTCCTAAATTACCTTTATTAAGCATTGTATTCAAACGCTTTCATCCCATCGCCATCACTTCCTCTGGACTTAAACTAGTACGACGTGCGACTCTGACCAGCTTGTAGTCTGGCATTATTGTTCCAAATGACCTCCTTCAGTCTGCGGATGTACTGAACTGATGATCGTCCGATGCAGTCTCTTTTCACCGATGCACTATTTTGCAAATCTTCAAACGATTGGCCAAAACCCCATCCGTTGAGGTCTCCCTGATTATTCTGCTGCTTTTGATTCTGTTCCACGATCTCTTGTTCTTCTTCGAAAGATACAGTGACTCGGTTGCTCCACCAATTGATTGTCGTGGTTGAAGGACCATTTCACAGGAGGTATTCAAAGAACGATAGTACACGAGACTGTTTGAAAACTGTTAGAGAATAATACGGGAGTTCTTTAGGGTGTTGTGTTTTCTCCATTCATATTTTCAACATTAATCAGTGACTTACCCTCTATTCCCGACAACCAAGACCTGTAAGTATGCAGATGATGTGGTCTTATATTAAGCCATCTCAAATTAATCTGATATGGAATTATTTTCTGACAGTTTAGTATGAGTGCAATTATTCTCGAACTCATGCGGTTTCCAGTTTAATGCTTCCAAATGCTTCAAATGAGTTCTAAGTTGTCCCTGATCCGAGTATCCCTTGGAGCTCTCAGTCATCACTTCCATACTCATTACCAAAACATACCACCAAATACCTACGAGTGACCACTATGGTGATTCTCTCATGTGCTAGCCTGTGTTGGTAGACTACGTCGCTTATCCTTCCAGATACGCAAGCTACGACAATTTAGAGGGAAGCATTCCAATATATATTTTTTTGTTTATCAATGCATTTTTCCTGTTATCCTTTATTGTTCTCCTGTTATTTTTCCTGAATTACTTAAAAAGGATTTCACTACTCTTGGTCGCGGTTTGGCAATTGTCAACCGTGTTTCTCTTGTTTCCCTAAACACTCTAATCACAAAATTGTGTGATTTTCATATACGTGAATTCCACCCATGAGATACTCAACGACCCCAGTCATCCGCTCAATCCCGATCTAGTTGATTGCCGTTCTCGGGCTACAATCCGATCCAGCTATCGCCGGCATAAATACCTAGCACAATTCAACAGTACCCAATCTGACCCATGTTCTAACTGATAAGAAGATCAGAAAAGAAATAATCGTAAGTCTATAAAGATGATCAAGTTCAAGTTTCATCACCGAAGTAAAAGACCGTCTTCATTTTTTTGTCGCATTGGAACGATAAACATATTTTTGACCTAAATGCAGACATAATTGCCTGCACAAGTTCTTACCATACAACACAATAAAACTTGATCAGGTCGCTTGCCACACCATCCAACCAAGAAACACGGTTTACCCTTGATCATCCTCCATGCAGTGCTTGTTCAAGACTGGCAGGAGTCCGTGCCGTCACTCACTCTCTGTGGTGATCAGCCGGAAGTGGTTGAGAGCTTTATGTACCTCGGGAGCTTGATCGCAGTTCCAAATTCTATCCGGTTTTCGGGCAATTCGAAAGAGCATTGTTCCCACGCTTGCTATCAGCGTTCTTTCGGCTACACACGGAGTACACCGTTCAAATATGGAATCCATGGTTGAACCGCGACAAGAAGGTTCTAGAACGTCCGCAAAAAATGTCCGACAAAAAGTTTGCATAAAAGGACATACTCCGAAAGACTGCAAATATTGGGACTCTAATCATCTCAATACCGCCGGCTTCGAGGGGACCTAATCTTGACATACCACATATTGCATCAACTCAACCACCTTCTTCGTTCTACGCTAACATTACCTCAAAATGACATCCACTAAAGTTGACGACCCAATACTGCTACACTGAGTGCCGGTATCACTGGTTTGCAGTCAGAGTGTGCGATGAATGGAATTCTCTTTCATCCGATGCAGTGTGTGCTCCTACAGATGAACTGATCAAATCGCAACTTGGGGCACTTTACACTTCGACATCCGTGAGTGATCATGCATATTATTTTCTCTTCGTGAAGTTATTCAAAAAAATCCTATGGAGCATAATACGCTTTAATTTTGTTAAATCACCCAAAATAAAACTTGGACTTTATGAATGAATAACAAAATGACACATAATCTGCGATGCAGGCTCCCTAATCACGAATATGCACAACCCAGTCCCAATTAAGTTGCTATGCCATACACATGGAGTAATTAGGTAACTGCTGATGAGCAAGCAGCTAACTACTTAC